TTTAATCTATTTATGTGTTTATATTTAAAGTGCATTCCTTTTAGATAGTATATACCAAGGTCTTGTTTTTAAATTGAATCTAGTAATCTCTTTCTTTTAATTGGTATTCTCAGGTTATTCACTTTTAATGTTATTATTGATCTCATTAGATTTAGACCTACCATTTTATTATTAGTTTCCTGTTTGTAACATCTAGTTTTATTTCTTTGTTCCCTCTTTCCTGTTTGTTTTGGAATTATTTAAATATACTTTTGTATTCTATTTTAATTCATTTATTGGCTTTCTGGGTTTATCCCTTTTTTTTGGTGTTTATTTTTAGTTATTGCTTTACAAGTTACACTATACGTTTTTCAAAATCTAGTTTGAAACTATTTTTACTTTCCCCCACTGACCTTTGTGTTATACGTATCATAAGTAGTACATCTTTATGTATTAAGAACCATATCAGATAATGCTATGATTTTTGCTTTCAGCAGTTATGCATATCTTAAAGACATTAAAAGTAGAAAAGTAATAGTCCATTCTCTTTACTTGGATATAACAACTCTTAATTTTGAAGACATAATGGCTAAAACTTAGAAAATTTTCTGAAAGACATAAATTTACAGATTTAAAAAGCTCAGCAGACCCCAAATAGGATAAATTCAAAGAAAGCCATTACAGATAACATCATAATCATTCTGCTAATGACTAAAGATAAAGAACAAATCTTGAAGGCACCTAAAGAAACAATGATTCAAATAATTGTGGACTTTTCCTTGGACCCATGGAAGGATGGTGGGACAGCATCTGTAAAGGACTAAAAGAAAAGAATGGCCAATCCAGAATTCTTTGTCTAATGAAAGTAATCTTCAGGAATTACAATGATACAGACGTTCCCAGATAATAGAAAACTAAAAGAATTTGTTGCCAGCATACCTGCTCTAAAAGAAATGCCAGAAGTTTTCAGGCTGACAGAAATGATATAAGCAGGAAACTTGGATCTTCAGGGTGAAGGAAGAGGAGCAGAATTATTTAAGAGCATCCTGTTGTCTTGGCTTCAGTGCAAGTTTCAGACTTGACCAAATTTTCTAGATTTATGTTTGGCTGATAGCTTCCCAGTTTTAACTTGAGCCCACACTTTGAACTCTGTTTCTTTATTCCTGCCTGATGCGTTGCTACCCCGGGTTTATTTCCTGTTTCTTGCATTTAAGTTAGAACCTTAGATAAATTTTGTTTGACTCTATTGCTTTCTAAAAATGTACTTTCCATTGCCTGAGCTTATCAGCAAGTATATCTTTTAACTGACTGTTGAAATAAAGATGCCATATAAAACCTTAGAATTGTGGCCTGTTATAAAATGGTCATGAAAATTATGTTTAATTGAATCCACCTGAGAAGCTATTTAATTTTATTTCTCTCTTTCCCAAATACTTTCATAGTATGACAAAATCATTAATTTTCCAACCATATTATAGATAGTATTCAACTCAGTATTTTAATTGGAATGATAATTAGCTCAAGTTTCTTCTAACAAATGAAAGGCGTGTATATTAAGCTACTAAAAATAATGTTTTTTTGTTACATTTGTTCATTTAATATATGCAGTTCTGCCTGTTTCAGATTTAATGAAATGTCTTTTATTCATCACATATTGGAAGTAAGAAATGTCAGCTTCTTTCCCCTTCCCATTCCTTAGTCCTTTGACCTTTGATACTGACAGTTTACATATCCCTTTCTTTGTCAAAAGTGTTATTAATTTTAATATCTGAGATATAAGTATATCTGACAAAGCAAAGTGTAAATATTGATCTGTTACCTTTCCAGAAAGTAAATTATCAAATTAGGGAAATATTACAATCATAATTACATAATTATTCCCCCATTTCACAGTACAATAAGGCAATGCTGAATTAAAATGGTGGGCAATTGCAGGTCTCAGGAATTTTTGCAGCCATGTCAAGACACTCTTACACTTTTAATTATTTTTGAAATAATGATGAAAGTAATTTATTTTGCTTGCCCCCATTGACTTTTGATGGATTTTTCAAATTTCTTTAAATAAGTGGTTTATAGATACTGCAATTCAGAAGTGTTGTTATAATTTTAATTTTTTTCCTACAGAAAAATTAAGTTTTTAGCATTGGCATCACCATACTTAGAGTGTAATAGTCTAGAAACTTTATCTTTGGCTTTTTCCTCTTTCACTATTTTCCATTTCCGGTCAAGCATACCTGATGCTTTTCTTGAAGTATCTCTGGTATTTACCTTTAAATTCTATCACAGTCCCTCTGTTCTAGTCAAATGTGTATTTTTTTGTCTCAGCCTACACGCTCTTTTCATTTCATTGCTTTCTGCATATTTACCATTCTAACCTTTGTAAAAGAGTCCTTTCATCCTCCAAGAATATTCAGGAGATGTCATGTTCTCACTACAGTAAGTCCAGGCTTCTTTACCCTGTGTTTATTCTCATCCGTGTCTCCACCAAGCCCTCTCTGTTGAACTTATTTTCGACTCTTCTGCCATTGGTGTAAATAGACCATCGTGCATGCTGTATTTATTTTTTCACTTTCATGCATTCCCTGAAGTTTTCGCTCCCACACCCATCCCGTTAGGAACCTTGTATCCATTTTCCTTTTGACCTAGTCAAGTTTGAGTCTCCTTCAATAAATTTTGCAAAAGCTTTTCCAACCCCTCATCTAACTCTTCTTTCTCTGAGCTCCTATCACATTGTCTGTTTGTATGTATTGTGATTCTCAGTGGCAGAGACCATGTCTCATTCTTCTCTCAACACCTGGCCCCGTGGTGTGTAACTGATTGGCTGCACTTCTGTCGTCCCATTTCACTCCTATAATCACTTTATAAAGTGAGGTCAGAAAGGTTTCTTGTTTCTTTTTATTAAATTCCAAAACATGATGATTCTTTCCTCAACTTCCTCACCCCTACACACTCCAAATTTGAGAAGCAATTTTTTTGTTTGTGAAATAGATAGGCAGAGAGACTTACGTAGATGAAATACTGTGCTAACGGAACCAAGAGTGAAAATAACTCCCATGTGCATCACTTGGGTTTAGATAGATAAAACTCCCAGTAAGATTCAGACTGTTCACTGAATCCTACCTATCTTCAAGTACATAGTTGTTCAGTATTGGGGAAATTGGGCAGTAAAGTGTGAACTTCCTAGCATAAACCCCTTGTAATACTATAAAAATAACTAGAAATGCATGCATTTTGCTCTTGGATTACTTTTATTAAAAAAATATTTATTAAAAATACCCCTGTTTACAGTCTCTAACAAAGACTGGGAAACTTTTTCCATAAATAGCAAGATAGTAAATATTTTTAGGCTTTGCAGGCCACACATGGTCTCTGTAACATATTATTTTTGGTTTTGTTGTTGTTTTTTACCACCTTTTAAAAATGTAAAAACCAGTCTCAGCTTGCAGGCAGTACAAAAATGGGCCATGGGCCAGATTTTGCTTGTGAGCCATAGTTGCCAACCCCTGGTCTGTAGCAATATGAAAAACTAATCTGTGTAATTGGACATCCAAGAGGGCCGAAGATTTTCTGTCTAATAGAGAAGATATTGCCAATACTAATCCAAGCCCTGAACAAACTAGAATGTGCCCAGAGGGCTGCAGTCCAGTGGCGGGAGCATGGGAAACCTTGACCTGAGAGGAATGGCTGGTGGAACAGGGTCAGGATTAGGAAGGAGAGAGGACGGCTTCACAGTGGTCTTCAGCTTGGAAGTTGCATGATGTAGAACTAGTCTAGTCCTGCGTGGTGCTTCCTGTGGAGCCTGGAGTGGAATGTAGTGTCCTGGGACAGAGTAAATGTCCCTCCCCGAGAGATTGCTTAGCAGAACTTCCTCCGCTCACAGATACTTCATGGTGACTTTCCCTGGGGAGGATGAGGTACCTTGTAAAGAACTTCCCAACCTCAGACTGGGTGATTTGGTGTATGACAAGGGCGTAATTGTGCTCACCATGGAACAGATTACAACTATAGACGTCAATAATGAAGGAATATTGGAGTAAATGGAAGGATTTTATTTGGATGGAATTAAAGTAAATCTTCATAGCGTATGTACACTTAGAGTGGGGTTTTTGTTTGTTTGGTTTTGAGGGGGGGGCGGTTTGTGTGTGTGAGGCAGATTGGCCCTGAGCTAACATCTGTGCCAGTCTTCCTTTACTTTGTTTTGGGATGCTGCCACAGCGTGGCTTGACGAGCCGTGCTAGGTCTGCGCCTGGCATCTGAACCTGCGAACCTCGGGCCGTCAAAGCAGAGCGCATAAACCCAACCACTACGCCACCAGACTGGCCCCTAGAGTGGTTTTTTAAAAAAGTGAACTCCATGGCCGGACAATTTCGAAAAATGTTACCTACCATTAATTCCGTTTTGTTGTTATATTCTTTACCATGGTGAAAATTTCCAAAGACATCCTGATTCTTAGTCCAGAAATTTTCTGTTTAGTTCCTATGAACAAGGTGCACTTACTGGGATACTGTTAACATATTTTTAAGTCTCCTGCTATCTACTTAATAGAAGGTAAAAATCACAAAAGTAGTAAAAACCAGGTACCTTTTAAGTGACTGTAATTGTTCTTTTTTTCTGCTATCTACTTAATAGAAGGTAAAATCACAAAAGTAGTAAAAACCAGGTACCTTTTAAGTGACTGTAATTGTTCTTTTTCTCACCCTAGCAACAACTTTTGATTCATCAAAAGCAGAAGCCGTAGGAACAGACTGCTGGCTCAGATTTGCCACTTTGTGTCTCTCCTTTCTCCATGCCAGCGCTTTCCTCTGTTTAAAAAAATTCTGGCAGGCTAATTTAAAGACAGCTACCTAGATTGGATTTGCACACTAGACCTAAATCCTGTGCTTCAGCATTCCCGTCCATGGAAATAACTTCAGCTACTGATTTTATTTGGTTGAACTTTTGCAGTATTGATTTATTTTACTTAATTAATATAATTAATTTAATCAGGATGCAATTTATCTTAATTTTGATTTTGGTTGTAGAGGTTGGCGATTTGAAGGAGCTGCAGACACTAGACATTTCTACCAATCGTTTGCTAACTTTACCCGAGAGGCTTCACCTGTGCCTTTCTCTGCAGTACCTCACTGTGGACCGAAATCGTCTATGGTGTGTGCCGCGCCATCTCTGCCAGCTGCCCAGCCTCAATGAGCTCTCCATGGCTGGAAACCGTCTTGCATTTTTGCCACTTGGTAAGTGATCGTGTTTATATGATAAAACGAAAAGCCAAAGAATAAGATGGAAAGCCTTTGTTTCCTTGACTAGGAAGGATTAGTCAGTTTCTTTCATTTCGTTTATCTTGAAGATTGCCTCTCTAAATCCATTTTTTCGGTGAACAAAGCATCATTCCCAGTTAACAAATAAAGTTTATTTCACTTAAGGATTTCATATTTTAAAAAAGAAATCTGTACTAAAAATTTGTTTTGGGAACAAAACGTATAAGATGATTTACTCTGAGAAAGGAATTAAAATATACATGCATATATATATAAATTTATATGCATATATAGTGTGTATATAAAACTGTAAAATTTACAGGGGGTATGAAGCAGTATGAAAGGGTAGCTGCTGGTACAAATATATCTGCTTAGATGTTGACTTGTATGTAGAAAAATTTGTATGGTGTGTCCTAATGACTAGTATTGCTGGAAATCCAGACTACAAACTTTTAAAGACTTTAAAATTGGGTGAACTGCCTGCTGAGCTAGAATTGTCACCTTGGCTGATGAACAACATATTATCCACAGTAGATTTCTGTAGCTGGCCCATTTTAATATAATATATGTTAAAGAACATAAGCTTTTAATAAAATACATTTATTTTCACTGAGAATTGAATTATTTTGTTGACGTGAGAAAAAAAGTGCCATTTAAAAAGAAAATTAAAATATGGAGCTCCACAGAACCCCAAACTGTCACAATAAGCATCATATGATTTTACTCATCAAAACATTTTTTATAATGAATAATTTATCTTTGAGGGCAATAAACTGAATAATTTAGTAGTCCTTGAAAGGAAATATTTTCCACCGTAATAGAGTACACATATTATTTTCAATTAAAAGTAAATAGGAGACATGAAAATCAATTTGAGTAATAGTAAATATCCATTTTTAGATTACTTTTCTATAAATATAATTTAATTCTATACTTATAAATTAACAAAATAAAACCATTTCAGAAGCAAGCTACGTTTCTAAGAAATCAGAGCTTTCTATCAAGTGAGAAAAATATCAACTATAAATAGATTTTTAAAAAATAAATGCATCTATTGCATAAACCACAGGTTATAGAACAGTTATAGTGGACAAGCACCGAGTTACAAATCCAAAGGTCCAGGTTCTAGCCTGGTTCTTCCATTTCAAGTGCATGACCTGGAGTAGATGATCAAAACCTCTCTGAGCTTCATATTCCTTATCCATAAGCCAGAGATTACAACGTTTGTCTTGTTTACTTTAGAGTTATTTTGAAGTCGAATAAGATAGCTTATATATAAGAATTATAAATCACTAAACAAATGCACGTGACTCTCAACTGTGAGAATATGCAACTGTGGATTACCATGTCCTGCTTTTTAAAAAGTTTTACCCTCCTCGTGTTCACCACCCTCCATGGTAACCACCATAACTTGTGTTTACCACTTCCTAAGAACTGCGACCTCTACCAATGCTGACTCGCTACCAAGTGATTGCTAGAATGGTGCAGTCAATGCTGATAATAAGTGAGTGGAGGAAAGGAGAGAGGGAGGGAGGGAGGGAAAAGATGTGATGGTTTGATTTGTGTGGTGTAGAACCCAACTTACTGATGTGACAGAGTTCAGGGTAAATCTGAAAATTCCATTCTAAACAACCCTTAATTTAGCGTGGTTTGACTTTCGAGTGTTACCAGAAACAGATTAGCTTGTTAAGTCTGAGGCTGCTTATACTATTATTCATAGTAGTGGTATTATTATTATTATTATTGACCATCTATATAAGGAATGTTTCCATGCATACTACTACTACAGCTATTTGTAAGAATAATAGCTATCACTTATTGAACCAAGTATTCTGTTAAGTGCAGTACAGATGGCCTCTAATTTAATTATTAGAAAACCTCATGACAAAACCTATTAGTAGAAAACCTGCTGACAATCTGATTTTACAGATGAGGAAATTGAGGTTCAGAGAAGTTAAGTAACCTGCCCCGAATCACAGCTAGTGAGAGACAGAATTGAATTTCAGACTCCATCTGATCCTAAAGTCCACATTCTTTCCACCTTCACATGCTATCTCCATATTCCAAGTGTGATCCCTCTGCAAGGGGACTTCATTTGAGAACAGAAGCATGCTGAGCATCTTTGTAGTTGTCGAGTGGCCATCTCCAGTGTCATATTTGGGCTCAAATACCCCTATGGACACACTGTTTGGCCCCATGCGTCTCGCTCTATTAGCTGAACAGGGTCTGCTGTAGCTTTCTCTCACCTACGCTCTGAACATCAACCAGGTGCTCCCAATTACTTGTTTCTACGCTTTCTAGAATCAGCAGATCCTCCAGCAACAGAAATCTTACCAAAGGTTAGGCCAGAGACCTGTTATCTAGGTCTTTCTTGGTGCTTGCCACTCTTCTTGCTTTGCCTGGCCCCTTCAACCTCAGCAGAGCTCCTGATTCCTTAATTTTGAAGTTGTGCTGCTAACAACTTATTTTCCTTTGCCTTCTTCTCTTCTTGGTTCTTCCATCACATACACTTTGTCTCTAGTCTAAACCATTCATACAATGACTGGCTCCATCCTGCTCAAGACTCTGATCCACACCCCTGTTCTCATGTCTGATACAAGACAAGATACTCTTGTCAGAATGCCATCTAGTTTTTGACCCTGAGTTCTGCCTAGAACTGAATGAATCTTGATTACTAGTCTTTAGCCTATGGGCCCCGTCTCAAGTCCAGCCAGTTTCCATGCCCTTCATCTTGCCTCTTCCCTCTACCTCACTGTAGCTCCTCCAGCTGTGGCTTCTTATTCCCCTAGTCATGTGCCACTCATTCCTACCTGTTGTTGCAGCAGTGACACAGCCAAGCATGTGCTATAGTGGCAGTGGTACTGGGAGATAAGGGAAGCCATTCCAGTAGGAACCTGACCACTGTTAATGTTTAGGATGCCAAGGAGTGACATTGTGGATCAGGCTGAATGCTTACAGCAGTAGATGACCTCAGTGGCAGTGGCTAGTGCAAGGTGATAGAAATGGGTGTTGGGTGGTAGAGTCCATTGCGCATTGCCTGGCTGCTTTTCGGCTTTGACACCTCAGTTGTTTATTTCCTGGGGCATCTTCTGTATGCACTTTGCTAAATGCTGGTGTGTCTAAGGAAGTGGTCATCTCTCCTTCAGCACTTAGTGTTCAGTGGTGAGTAGAGCCTTACAGATAGTTTCTACCTCTAGGTTTCTTCTCACTCTTGAAGCCTTGCCACTGTGTTAGGAGAGATTTTCCTTTGTGAAGTTGTTAATATGGTACCAAAGAGCATGAGAGGTAAGAGAGTCTGCGATGGGCTCTGAGGAGGGTCCCTCATGACAGACAAGGTAACCACAACTCTTAAGCTTGGGGTCATGGGACAGCCCAGGAGATGGAAGCAACTTCCACACTCTCCTGGGTGCCATCCCAGCTCACAAGGCTCACAGCTCTAGCAGGACACAAGCCTGTGGACATGTTTTATTTTACTGTAGAAAAACATACAAGCAAGAAGATGATAATGAAAATTGTCTAGTGAGAAAGAAACAGGCCACCTGAAGCAATGTTCTGCCCTGGTCTCAGACTGAATTCCTTGAGAACAGTAGGAGTAAAGGGTCAGGAAGCAAATAGAGCACTAGTGGCCTTTCTGCATTGTTATATTGGATGATTCTTTCTAAAGAATGGATCAGACAGCCAGAGAGTCGCAGTATGAGGTTGCCCAAAGAAGGCTTCAGGAGACTGGAGGCAGGATAGTCTGTGAAGATGATGAAATTAAAGCTGATAGAAATAGCAACAATCTTCTCAGTCTCATTTTTGGGTTTTGGTGTTTGTTGGATTTTTTTTTTTTAACACTATGAAGGTGGATTTGGAGGGAATTCAGTTTAAGTCTTTAGAAAGAAATTCATTAAGTCCATAGCTGTCCCTCCATAGAGTTTGTGCCCTTGAGACCTTTCCTTGAAATCCTTGCTGATAAACAAAAGCCGTTTACATGTCAAGAACTATCTGGGACAGAGTCAAATGAAGCATGTGGCTGCTGGCACTGCCTTTCCTCAGAGAACTGAACTGTACTTGGGACCTTAGCAAACAGGGCTGCCTCTGTGCAGTACTTAGGAGATACTGTGTGTACACATACACACACAACTAAAATTTTCAAATAGAAAGTTCCTGTGTTTAACCATGATTCTATGAGCGTAATATAGGAATTTGAAAGTTTATGAAATGGGTTCTATAATGTCTCTGCCTGTGAATGGAGGTAGGAATCTTATTTTGGGGAGCTACTTAATGAATTCAGTTTCTTGCCAAAGAAGTTTGACTTAAGAGAAAAGCAATTTTTTTATAGGGCTTCTTAAAGGAATGTCAGAATACAGCCTCTTCAGAAAGCAACTACAGAAGCTATATGTAAAAATGACTTAAATCACTTGTAATACTATCTAAACCATTAATGCTCTTTGAATATGTTCTTTTAAGGATGAAAAGATGCATAAAGAAAGAAGGATGTTCCCATTATAACTATACCATGACAACTGAGTGACAGATTAGTCTACAAACAGAAGCTTTATTCACAGTGGAGACTATCAGTGAGAAGGAGGGGGAAATTAATCACTTACGCCTGGCATTATGAGATTTAATAGAGGCCTTGAAATGTGGATGTTTGTTCTCAATTCAGTATAGCTCTGTACACTGAATAGCTCATAGAGTTGTGACTCGCCTCTGGGCTTCTGAAAGTGTTGGAAAATACAAAGAAAAGGGTTTTTTCCTCCAAGGCTTGTTTACCAGGTGTTCTTTAATTAATTAATAAGCCTGATTATTCAGTAATGTTTACAACTTCTTTAATGTTGAATAATAGATATAAGTACTATAAAGTTGCCCGTGCACAAATTGGCTATAAAAAAGCACGCTTTGAAAATAAGCAAATGGGACTATATCAAACTAAAAAGCTTCTGCACAGCAAAGGAAACCATCAACAAAAGGAAAAGGCAACCTAAAAACTG